ATTAACTTTATGTAACAAGTAATAGGAGTTTTAAAATCAATTTTGCAGTGAAAAAAATGGAATCGAAGAAAAAAGTCTTCGGAAAAAGAATTAAAAAAACAACGAAACAATTTTATGTCTGAATTTCTGGAATGAAGAATTATTACTTGCACCATTTAATTGCAACCTAATCATCAGCTAGGTTACGTTTAAGAATCTAAGTTTACTACATCGTTTTCCGACAGGGCAATGGTCGAGTGGATAAAAAGGTTGTTGGAATTAACGAGTAATTCATCGAGAAGAAACCTCAACAGAATGCAGAAAGCTCTGGACGGCCATTTCGTCCTATATTTGGGATTCCTCAACAGTGCACGGAATATGTGATCGGGAGGCTATATCGAATTGGTATATTCTCTTGAGGTTTCTTCTTGACTCGATGAATTCATTATAATTATCTCAAATCGTCCTAATAATTTCTATCACTTGTATATCCTTGCTTGAACCGGCTTCTAATGCTCTGGACTGAGCGGCTTGTTGATAGTAGTCGTGGCTCGTGAGGACACGGTCCTATGAGTAAAAGAGAAACTCGGATGAGTTCTACCACGCAATATGTGAACGAGCGGCGCTATATCGAGTCTGATTCGCTACCACGTCGTTACCGAGGCCCGTTGGTGCAGTTGGTATAGCGTTTACCTGATAACGTAACTGTCTGGGTTTCAATTCTCGGTAGTGGATGAGCACTGCTGATGAGTCCTAAATATAGGACAAAATGACAGTCCATTGCTTTCTGCATTCTGTTGAGGTTTCTTCTAGACTCGATGAATTACTTAGTTATATATATATATATATATATAGAGAGAGAGAGAGAGAGAGAGAGTTCCGTCTGTCAGTCGCACACTCTAGAATAGCTATATATTGATCAATCAAAATTAAATTTGGGGGAGAAGTGCAAACATGTAAAGGAGTACAAAGTACAATTGGCTTGACTAAGGCGTGTTGATTAGTACAGTAAATTTTCATTCATTTTTGGGAAAAATTAAAAGTTTGAGTTACCATACAAAAAATTAGAAAGTTGTCGAAGATCATCTTGAATAAGTTGGAAAATGATATATATATATATTGACGTTGACAAAGTGAAATTTGTTTTTCAATTCACAGTTAAAAAATTTTATTTTCAGATGATCACAACAATTTTGTCTTAGAAAAAACAACACCACCCTGATAATGACATTGTGCTAATGTCGAAATGATTCGGAATAAATGAATATGTATCAACATAGTAATTTTCTCTCTTCCTTTATTAAGGAAACTAAGAAGCTTGTTCATGAATATGAGAGGATCATGTTGAAAATAAGTAGACTAAACTTATCTAAATTATTCAATGAGATATGTCAATGAAAACATACTGCCAAAATATATGCAATATATATATATATGAGCGTGTGTGGTGGGTGTATTCATTTGATGGTCTCATATTTTCAAAAATCATACCCCACCTCCTCAAGCAAGGCAATAATGCCACTAAGACACAGGGAACGAAAAGACTTTTGAAGGAACTGGAAACCCAGTACTAAACAGGAAATAAACAATAAACCTCTACCCCTGTTCAAAAGACAGGGCATGTGTGTGAACTGGATGATATATATATATATATATATACACACACACATATATGTGTGTGTGTGTGTGTGTGTGTGTGTGTGTGTGTGTGAGAGAGAGAGAGAGAGAGAGAGAGAGAGATATTTAATTTTTCACATAACATGAATAATTTTGGAGAAAAATATATGATAAAGTGGAAAATTTTTTCAAAGCTAAAACAATTTGGGATATATAAAAATTTATATATCGTCTCCCCCATCTCTCTCTCTCCATATATATATATATACATGTGCGAGAGAGAGAGAGAGAGATTTAATTTTTTATATAACATGAATAATTTTGGAGAAAAATATATGACAAAGTGGAAAAAGTTTTTCCAACCTAAAACAATTATGGATATATAAAATTTAATATATCGTCTCCCCATCTCTCTCTCTCTCTCTCTCTCTATATATATATATATATATATATATATATATATACGAATAAAGCTAAAAGGAATTTTTTTTCTACCAACGCCTTTTGTCCTCTGAATGCTTTTATTAAGGCAAATGTTAAAATTTTGCAACAATTATTCAGAAACAGGTCTAAAAAAATAAAAAAAATAAAAAAAAATAAAATCGTTAGACTTTTTCAGTTTCAGAACGTTCATAATAAACGATGGTGAGTAAATTTTGTTGAATTAAACATTTTTTTTTTCTCTTCTGTTTATCAAAAACCTTTTGCAAAAAATAATCTCTTTTGAAATGATCGATTTTTTAATATCCCTCAACTTACATTTAGTTTCCGGAGGTAAATCTGGAAACGCGAAATGTGTCCATGAATTCCTGGTGTCGGCTGGAAGGGTAGTCAGAAGCGATTTCGGTGTCACTGGTCGAAAGGCGCTTAAACGACGCATAGTGACGTGTGTTTCGTTCTCAGATGAGAAGAAGAATAGCTGATTTCCTGATTCAAACTTGGTCTGGTCGCAATCGGTGGGTAAAGAAGAAGTTTTCGAACTGCTGTTAGTTTTAGAGTTGGGCCGGAAATTTCCAGTCGAAATCTTCGAGTTAGTTTTTTTCTTGCGAGGCCCTCTTTCTTGTTGGACAGCTAAAACAAACAAAGAAAACATTAAACTTGACGTCATGTCGGAGATTCAAACTTTAGCTTCAAGCTATAGAATCTACCATATTTGATGATTTATGCTAATATTTTCCAAGGAAATTTTAGGATCGTTTTCTGATAAGACAAAGAAGGTTAAATTGGAAGTGACTTTGATACTAATGCTTATCCCTCACAACAAATAAGCAAAGTTTGTTTCTTATTAATTACGATGTTTTTGAGACTTTTTTTTAAGGGGGAGACATTTATTAATTTCAAAGAAGTACAAAACTCTCATTTGCTTCAGAATGGGATCCTTTGACTTCAATGTATTTATTGTAGCGCTCCAGCCAATGCGTAAAAACCCCGTGGATGTCATCCAAAGTAAAGGTGTTCAGAACCCTTGTCACAATCGCCTTCATATTCTCAATGTCTTCAAAATGTCTGCCGCTGAGATTCTTCTTAGATTGAAGAACAACCAAACGTCACGGGGACCAAGGTCTGGACTGTAGGGAGGGTGAGAGACACTTTTGATGACCATCACACCCCACTCTGCTGTCACCAACGCATCTTTTCTATTTATTTATATAGATATTATATTTATGCCCTCTATGTATTTCTTTTTAGTCCCATGTTGATATATATCATAAAATATGTTGTTATGTAATAGATTATTACTTTAATATTGCGTTAGCATAGCCGAGTGGCGCAAGGGCGACTTATACGGAAAATCGCGTTACGACGCATCGTGGGAAGATAACTCTGTCGTAAGTCGAGGAACGCGATTTTCTGTGTAAATCGCACTTACGTCACTCACCTATATATACGAGGTGCATTCCAGAAGTTTTGAGACTTTTTCAGGAGACACATTTATTAATTTCAAAGAAGTACAAAACTCTAATCTCCTTCAAAGCTGTGTCCTCCCACTTCAAAGCACTTGTTGTAGCGCTCGAAACACTTTCACAAAAGAGAAGGCATCCAGGACCCTTTCCACACCCTTCTTCATCCTCTCAATGCCTTCAAAACGACTGCCCCTGAGTTTTTCTTTCAGCTCGTGAAACAACAAAAAATCACAGGGAACAAGCTCTGGATTGTAGGGAGGGGGGCGACGGACAGTTTTTCTGCTCATGTCATCCTTGTATATCAATGTAAATGTCCTTTGAGAGATTGCATCTCTGATAAAAATGTTATTACATATGTTGGTTTTACAACGACAACGTTGACGAGACGGCTTACATTTCACTTGAATGGGCATAGTTTAATCTCAGAACATTTTGAGGCGTATCAATGTCCACATTCACAGTTTAGACAGATATTAGTTGAAAATACATTATTATTTCATCAAAATAATAATAAACAAAAACTTTAAATTCTGGAATCCTTTTATATAAGAGAATTGCGGTCATAAATAAATAAAGTCAACTATGATTATAACAACAAAGTTCTTAAATGTTTATAGCAGAAAAGTATTATATAAAAATACTAAATTAAAATATTATAATTAAAATTTTTTCGTTTTTTAATTACAAAAGTTATCTCCCTTGTATAACTTAAATTTTGAATCTTGAATTTGAAAGTAATGGGAAAAAATGTAGCGTAAACGAACAGTGAAAAAATATTTTGAATTTTACGGAGCTACGGTAAATGCATACACAGATATTTTAACCCCCTGAAGATGGTCACAAACAAGATTGAAAGTACTTGGGAAAATAAAAATTATTTCAAAGAAAATTTTGGAATTTTTCTTGATCAATTTTCTACAGCCACAAAGAAATTAATTCGTGGATCCGAAAGTATTAAAACTAGAATAAATAGACATAATAAGCCTAAATTATTTAATCAGACATGCTTGAATGAAAAGTATGCTGCCCAAATATATATATATATGTATATATATATATAAACTTTATTGTATAGCTAGCTTCCGCGTTCCGACTAGATTCTGCAAACTCGTCAGCTGAGACAAGCAGTGTTCAGTTGGGTGTTTTCAAAGAATCTCCTTCAAACTGGAACAATAAAAACAGGCAGTTCATAATATTAGACGCATAGTAATGATATATATATATATATATATATATATATATATATAACATTACAATAATCTAAGACAGTGATAACTGCCTCTCCTAAAACCGTCACAACACTCTTAGAATGCTCCTCGTATATCGTTCCCAGAGGTTACAATGTAGAAGTATAGAAATGATTATCTGTCCTTGTATATAAAGTATCATGTGACAAGAGAAAGCAAATAAAGCAATATTGCAATCAGTTTGAGAACATCAGACAAACTAGATAGTCGTCATTTCTTATCTCTGTTTCGTGGGAGAGATAACGGCTCGACATTGATATCTCCGGTGAAACAGCAATTCCCTTATGATCACCGAAGTTAAGCAATGTCGAGCCAGGTCAGTACCTAGATGGGCGACTGTTTGGGAATACCAGGTGCTGTAAGCTTAAATGTTTGTGTGGTGTCATGACTCACAGCTCGAAAATGGAAATCGGAAATGTAAGTTTTTAATTTTAAACGGTTCGCTATATTCACTTACGTGCAAAGACTCTTAGGAAATGTATGAATCTATGTCTTCATTCCCCGCTATGGGTTAATTAGTAGAACTTTTGGATAATTTGCTTTGTAAGCCACGCGATAAATATGTAATAAAAATTTGTCGAATAGCTATATTTAGGTGTAAATTTACATGCTTAATTCGAAAATAACAAAGAAAATTTAAGAAAACCTATCGTTTAGGAGTTATCGACAATAAGAGTTTGGACTCATTCGCGTCGCGGTAGCCATTACTGGCGTTGTTTGTATATATAAGCTGTGGAACAGTATTGATTATTACGCATACAATGAGGCCTCAGTTGTGCAGTAATTGAATCAAGTAAGAAAAGGCCGTTAACAATGTAATCTTCTCCGCAAATCTAATCAGCATCGAATGTATACAAACAACGTCAGTAATGGCTGCCATGCCGTAACGCGAATCAGTCCGAACTTATATTGTCGATAACTCCTAAACGGCAGATTTTATCAAAATTTCTTTGTTATTTTCGAATTAAGCATGTAAATTTATACTTAAATATAGCTATTCGGCAAATTTTAATTAGATATTTAGTGCGGAACTTAAAAAGCAAATTACCAGAACTTTTATCAGTAAAAATCATTATTATTTAAAAAAAAAAAAAATTCTTATAATCTAAAAATATTTTCTGACTTTAAACAAAAAGTAGATAAACTGTAAAAAACAAATCAATCTACCAACACCGTGATATTCAAATAAATGCATTCATTTATTTAGCAACTTAATTTTGAATTCATTTTTTGTAGTAAATATTTTCATGATAATTGTTCTGCAATATATTTGGTCCTGACACCTCGGTTTCAGTAACTTCTCCACCACAGACAAATAGCTTCTCTTTTCTTTGCCTTTTCTATAAATAATTTCATGGTAATTGTCCCGATAAGCTTTCATCTTTGCTACCAAGACTTTAGGAATTTAAGCTTACTACTAGATTGGCAGCAAGGTCTCACCCTTTTACATTTACAATGGATGGATTTCTATGCTAACAGTTTCTTCTCTCGCTCATCTCACTTGTGGGACTCTCTTCGTGCTGTCCAGTCAACTTTGATCTTCCAAAAATTGAAATGCAATGTCAACTTCTGTCTTCTTAATTCCTGTTCTTTTTCTCCCCTATCTCCTTGTTTTATTTCTCTCATACTCAGTAACTCCTTGAATTTTTGTGGCTTTACTGTTTTGCTTGCGATGAAATCTATATATAAAATTCTATGACTTTCGTTAGTCCGTCAGTCACATCCTCTAAAATAGCCATACATTGACTGACTGAAACCAAATTTTGGGGAGAAGTGTAAACAGGTTCAGTGATTAGCTACTTCAATAATTAAATGTGTAAGGTTTCTTATGGAAACATTTTGTAGTACATGAAATAAAGGTGATGAAGAAGAGTACATTCACAAAATAACACACTAAAGTGTCGTCAAGCTTTTGAAGGTTGTCCTGATGTTATATGGACCGCAGATCCTTTGTATTTTCTCTGATAACCCCTTCACATAAGGCAGGCAGACTGTTTTCTGAGTGTTATTGTCCTCCTCTTGTACCCGCCTATCCCAGTTTTGGGGGGCTGCTGCCATGTACCCAGGGTAGTTGTTACATTGTAGGGTACTATTTATACTGACCAATTCTTTATCTAATATCTCTGGGTCGCCACATGACTTTTGCTCGGTGTTGTAAGCAGCGGACGATCCATTTCTTTACGCTGTATGGATGGTGGGAGTCGAAATTGAGGTACTGTCCGGTGAATGTTGGTTTTTGGATAAATATGGTGACAAAGATGAGGACAATAGTCCGACTAATATAAATAGTGAGAATATTACCTGCAATATATTTTTATACAAAATAAGAAAATTATCCGCAAAGTATTTTTGGGAAAAAAATTACCAGCAATACATTTTTTGTAAAAGAAATTACTAATACCACTAAGAAAATTAAATTTTGGCATTAAATGACCCATGAGGTGTTGATATGCCGGTAAACAATTAAACGAACAAATAAATAAACAATTATGTGACACATGAATAGTGTATATCTTTCTTTATGACTTACCGTCTGGATTCATGTTTACTTTAAAACATTTTTGTAGCCGACAGTAAGGACACCAATTCCGTCGGGGTTTGTCAACTAAACAACTACCTTCACCTGCAATAGGACAATATTTGAGTGAATTAAATAAAAAACAAACAACCAAAAGTTTTCTTGGCTGAATTTCTGGGATGAGGAGCGTCTGGGAATTAGGAGTTTCTTAATTATGAATGAGACAATGTCTGTTCGCACCAAATATCCGTAGAACTGATTTGGTTGCATATTGGCTTTGAGTAATAATTAAAATAAATGCACAAAGGGCTGAAAAAAAAAAAAAATCCCAAAAAATCTTTATATATCCCAATATAATAATACAGAAGGATAAGGTGAAAATTGAAATCTCAAGAGTTCAAGTATATATATATATATATATATATATATATATATATATATATATATATATATATATAGAGGAGAGAGAGTGTGTGTGTGTGTTTGTGTAAATATATATGTATACGTATGTATGTATCGAAATGCAGTAGACGCCGTGCAGGAAGGTATATTTATTTTCAATTTTGCAAGTACGGTTTAGCTCGTAAGTTGGTCAGTTAGTCGTGCAAATATCCTATTTTGTCCCTGGGTATGTTACGATGGCCGTAGCTTCAGAAAATTAATTTATCGACTCTGATTTTGGTTTCCATCTATAGATTCGCTTCGAACAGTGTGCTCTGCTTTTCATTAACTCACGGCCTATCTCCTGGTTGTGATAGCATTCTGATTGGTTGGTCGAACTATGTATTTTTAGAAATTTTGGTTTCCTTGTTATTATTTCTTTTCTTACATCATAGCGGTGAAAGCTGTCTGATTGGTTGGTCGAAGTATTACTTTGTTTGCCTGGCGATTTTTATTATTCATCTAATTTTAGAGATGGGTTAGTTCGATTTTGTTATTATTTATTTATTTCTCTGTGAGCACATGTTATCAGCTATTTACATGCGGAATATTGAACTTGATTTTGTTCTTGCTATCATAACGTTTCAGTCGTTGTGTTTTGCGGCCTTCATCAGGTGCGTGCCGATCCGGGTAAACTTCAGGGAATTTCGAACTGGCCCCTTTATTGAAACTACGGGGGTAGATTTTTTTTCTCTTTCTAATAATAAAGAAAGAAATAGAAGCAACAGAAAGCACAGTAGAAAGCGTGACAAGTAGCATCAGCGGCACTTATTAGCAAGTAGGTTAGGTTTAAGTTTCCAAGTTATTCAATTGTTCATCGGCATAGTGTCTAGGGCATAGTGGATTAAAGATTTGCTCCAGGTGTCATAGCAATTGTGAGTTCAATCGTTAGTGAGAACGGGACGATATATAACTGATCAGTACTAAATAAAAACTAGGCGATATATTCCAAGACAGGGTCAAAGGGACGAGAACAACCCCCTCCCATTGATTAAATATCTAACCAGAATGACAGGAACCTGATAAAGGGAAACAATATGTTATAACGACAAATGAAATAATGTCAATAAAATACTTTTATTCACATTATTTCAGCAGAGTTGAATTAATAACAAAGTTACAAAGATTTTATCAAAAGAAGAATTTTTTTTATCACATGTAAATATGGCAAACAATTCTCGGCTTTAAAAATTAAAATCAGTATTAATGATAGCGAGCTGTTCTTTTTTATTAGTCAAGTTTCTCATTTTTAATTCTTCCGTTCCCAGTAAGCCATTGTATCTTAGTAGCTTTGCTCCCTTGCTTGGGGTGAAATTGATTTAAAAAAAGCCTGTAATATTTCTAATGAAGTTTTTAATTTAATTCTAATTTTTAGTTACATTTCAACGCAAATGTTACACGGGTCATCAATTTATGACGGGTAATAAAAAATAAAAGGAAAGGAAAAATTTTGTGGTGAATATTAAAAGCAACACATTAAAATGAAGATGAAAGTAAATCCTAGTCAAAAATTAATAATAATGGCTGACAATGCTTCATCTAAAAAAATGAAGACGAAAGTAAATCCTAGTGAAAAATTAATAATAATGGCTGACAATGCTTCATCTAATGAAAAATGAAGATGAAAGTAAATCCTAGTCAAAAATTAGTAATGATGGCTGACAATGCTTCATCTAAAAAAATGAAGACGAAAGTAAATCCTAGTGAAAAATTAATAATAATGGCGGACAATGCTTCATCTAATAAGTAATGAAGAAGAAAGTAAATCCTAGTGAAAAATTAGTAATAATGGCTGACAATGCTTCATTAAAAAAAAAATTAAGTTTAAAGCAAATACTCGTCAAAATTTATTAATAATGGTTGACAATGCTTCAAGTAATAAAAAATGAAGATGAAAATATATTTATTCACAAAAATGAATAAAGGCTGACAATGATTTCCTTAATAAAAATAACGAAAATCATGTAAATATGGCTGACTGGTGTATAAAGATTAGAGTTGTTTTGTTCTACATTTTTTGAATGGAACGATTGAAATCGAAGAAGAAAATAAAGAAAATTAAAAAAAAAAAAAATGAATGAAGGAAAACTGGAATGAGTAAAGTTAGAAAAACAATGAAAAGAAAATGGATAAAAACGAGACTCACCGATGCAGCAATAAACCATTTTCCGGCGTATGCTTCGTTTGAAGAAACAACTACATCCATCACAACAGAAGACGCCATAATGTTTGCCAAAACTTTTGTCTCCACAAACTTTACAAGGAACCGGAACCGGAAGTGTCCTTCCTAAAGAAAAAAGTCGAATTTAATTCAAAAGTGTGTACAACATTCTCTCTCTCTCTGTCTCTCTCTATTTCTTCCTTCTTTTTTCTCTTTCTAGTTATCTTTTCTCTCCTCTTCCCC